CAGGGTATGCTGATCGGGAGGCCCCTTCCGACAAACAAGATGACGATCTTGAGGGCCAGGGTGGTGCCGAGCATGATTGCAGAGGTTTGTCCTGGAACGGTGCCGAGCGGTGCTGGTCCACAGGCAAGCGGTCTCCGCGCGGTGCCGGGGAGCGGAACCGGGATCGAGAATGGTGCCGATGGCCATGCCAGTACCGGGATCCCGATCTGGATCGCGAAGACGAAGACCGTCTGTAGACTCGGTGCCGGGAGCGGCCTCGCGAACAGGAGCACCTCTCATACCAGTGCCGGGAACTGCGTCTGGACTCTGACCGGTACCGATGCTCAGGTCGGTGCCAAGAAGTGGACCGGTGCTGGGAGGAAGATCTGGGCCGCGAGTACAACCGGCGCTGAGATGAAGACTGGTGCCGGGACTGCGAAAGGCGTTGGGACCTCCTCCGAGACCGGGAGCGGTGCCGCGAGTCCACACTCTGAGATGGAGGGCATATCAGGGCAGGCCTGCCCCTGGATTGCACCGTGCGGAGCAGATGCGGTGCCGCGGTCTGAGATGGCACCGGCTCCGTGAGGGCGATGAGGTCCTTCGCCGTTGCAAATGTCTCCAACGTAGAGGGGAGACAGGGCTCAACCACAGGACTAGGCGGGGAGCCAGTCCGCACCGGACTCAACGGCCCTACAACCGGTGCCGGAGTCAACGGTGTCGACGATACCTGCACCCTCTGGCGCGCCGAAGCCGGACGCAACTCCACCACTGGTTCGGGGGGAGCCGGTGCCTGTTGTACGGCAGTGTCCTGGGTCTTATGGGGTCTTTTATGTCCCGGAGTCGGGGAACGGCGCCGAGGGGCTTGTGGCGGACGCAGTGCCGACGGAGGACGGTGCCGTGGGGCTTTATCCGTGTCTCATCATGGTGTAGTACCCGAGGGCGCCGCCGGGGCGCTGCGCACAGAGGCGCTCGGTGCCGGAACTTGGCGCGCCGAAGGAAGATCTGGGCTAAGTGCCGCCTCCATAAGGAGCTGCTTAAGTCTAAAGTCCCGCTCCTTTTTGGTCCTAGGCCTGAAAGCCTTGCAGATCTTACACTTGTCCGTCTGGTGAGACTCTCCTAGATACTTCAGACAAGAGTCGTGAGGGTCTCCCGTTGGCATAGGCTTAGCACAGGTCGCGCACGGCTTAAATCCAGGAGCCTTGGGCATGAGGACCAAAAAAGGGGGGGGATAAAAGCCCCCTTTACCCCCGCTAACTAGTTATAACTATTCTATAAAACTATTAACAACAAAACTACTATCTACAAGAACTAACTAGTAAAGCTAGGGAGAGTGGAGAACACCTATGCCGCACTCCACAGTTCCAACGACCGTCACAGGCGGTAAGAAGGAACTGAGGGGGTGCTGGGTTGGCTGGGGTATATATCCAGCGCCATGAAGGCGCCACTCCTGGGGGCTCCACAGCCGACCCACCGGGTGTTGCTAGGGTAGAAAATTCTCTGACGATCATACACGCAGCGCGCGCACACCTAATTGGAATCGATATGAGCAAGCACTCGAAGAACTACTAATAATGTTTGGCAAACATTGACACCTCAGTCTTCCCATCTGTAAATAAGGATGCTTACCTGCTTCATCTGTTACCCCAAATTTGGACCTCAGACACTTTAATACCGACCTGCCTATAGCCATAAGTGGTTTGTCAATTTATTCTACCCAAATGGGTAATAAGGTGGTGGCCCACCCTAGAGGAATTGCCAGGGTTTCACCAGGGGGTTTGTCTCCAACCTGCAGAGGACTCCTCAGAGCAAACTAATCCTGCTAACCCCCTGGGAGGACACGGATACAGCCCTCCACTCAAAGGACTGATATCCAAGCAGTAATTCTTCTAAAACAAAATATTTTTTTATTTAAAGGAAATAATCAGTTACAATATATTCAATAAAGCAATAAAGAAATCATACATTTAAAGCGGTGCAATAAAATAAAAGACACAGACCACATAGGAAGCATAGCATATATAAACCCTATAGCCATTACAATTTAATACTTAAAGTACATAGAGATCTTTTATACACAAGCATTGCGCTTTAATACAATTATTTCAATATTTTCAACAAAGAGCTTCTATACAATGCATAAGAAAGCATTACAGTAATATAAAAAAATCTTTACTACTTAACACTATCATCCTGTGAGGGGTGGCCAAACGGTCACAGGATGGTTGGGGTGAGTCTCACACAAAGGCAGGTGTCCAGCTTTATTTACAGGCACACCCAGTCATTCTTTTAAATTAGACAGAAAATCAAATTTAAACTCCTTCTATAATCCCTCTGTATCATCTCTGGTGGTCCTTCTGTTCTGTCAAGGTAATAGAAACGGTTGGTAGGGCTGTGGGGTTCCTGGCTGCTACTGCTCTCTCCTGTTACCACTTCAGACTGCTTCTTCTGCTTCTGTGGGTGCTGCCTTCTAGAAGTCTCTAGCTGCCTCAGAAGCTTCAGTTGCTGCTGCTGCTGCTTCTTCAGGTTGCTGTTTCTCTTCTCCTTGCTGGTTGATCTTCTCTGCTTGGTTCCACACATCAGTCTGCTGGTTGTCAGCCTTATATTCAATCCCTAGTCTTCTCTGATTGGTTGCTTTTCCAAGATCAGAAATTAGCACAGATCCTCCCTGCCTAATTATACCAGCTCAGCCAATCAGCTGGAATTTATTAGCATAAACCCTCATCCTGTCTAAATCCTTCTTCTAGCTATTAGCATTAGTCCTCCTCCTAATTCCTTCAGGCATTTTTGGAGAGGAAGCTGAGTCATGCCTGTTGAACTCTATTTCACCCCTATCTCTGGTCTGCTATTGGTCAACTTAGTCTGTGTCCTCCATTTTGATGTTTTCTAATAGAGAATCATCATCAGCGCCATTTTGGATTTTTAACTATAAACTATCATAAACTATTACTTATCTAAAGCCTTAATTCTAAAACTAACTACTGTTTTATGCAAGTTAAAGCATTATGGTACTATCATGCCCATTGTTATGTAAATTTGGAGAAGTGATTTTCATGATGTTTTTAAACCCTCCTAACTGTTTTCCTCTGCATATCTCTGTCCTAGGTGCGGCAAGCTTTTATTTTTTTATTTTTTTCAGGGCAGCTAAAAGCAAAATCTCCTGTTTCACATCGGATGTTGTAAAGATTAATTAAAGCTTGTAAAGCACTGTGAAGATGTAGAGCACTATAAAAGTGCTAAGTATTATTAATCATTACTCAGATCAAAAGAACCTCCAGTTTATATTTGGACTAGATTTTGAAAGGACCAAGACAGAAGCAGAGGACCATGACAGGAAGTAGAAAAGGCAGGCCATGCAGCTCAGTTTGCCCAAGCTAGGGAAGGAGACAGACAACTCCAGCCCACTGCAGAACTCCAGAACTGAACCTGCGCTGTGCAGTGCTCTGGCTGGAGGAGAACGACCCTGGAGAGGAGCTGCCGGGACTGCTGTCTGCAATGTACCCGAAGGAGACAGCGGACCTTTGGACTACGGAATCCCCTGCCCAGATTGTGGTAGGAACTGGCCCAGGGAAATCAGACTTTAGTCCGGTTTTGTTGCCAGAGCACGAATCAGCGTGTTTCAATGGGATCCCGGCTGACCCAGTGGTGGAACCATTCGCCACTATTAGGCCTTGGGGCTGGGCCCAGGTCCCCCTACCTTCTGATACCAAACCCACTCCTGAGGTGATGGCCTATTCACCCCTTGGCCAGTAAGCCTGTGCTTTGCTTGTGGCGGGCCCCAGACTGAAGACTGCGGGCCGCCATAGTCAGGAGGCTTAGGCAAAAGCCTGTTTCCTGCTCTCTCCACCCAGAGGGTCAGGGCCCCTGTGATTGCCCCTGCCCAAGCACCAAAGCTTTGGCTAGGGACCACTTATGCTTATCACTCTGCCCGCCAGAAGGTCAGAACCACAGACTCTTAATTAACTGTTTGTTGCCTGACACAGCGACTCAGAGTGGCACACCTTTGAGCCTGAGCTCGAGGGACCACTACAGGGGTCGGCAACCTTTGGCACACGACCCATCAGGGTAATCCGCTGACGGGCCACGAGACATTTTGTTTATGGCACGCCACTTCCCGCATCTCCCATTGGCCAGGAACAGTGAACTGCAGTCACTGGGAGCTGCGGGGGGGGGTGGGGGAGGGGCGTGCCAGTGGATGGTCAACATAAACAAAATGTCTCGCAGCCCACCAGCGGATTACACTGATGGGCCGTGTGCCAAAGGCTGCCGACCCCTGGAACCACTACAATAGAATCCCCACCGAAAAGCAGATTGACCTAATACTATTCTTTAGTAATGGAAATTATGCCACTCTCTCCTAGAAGCTTTCCAACTACGTGACATAAAGAGCATGAAAATAGTGGCCGTCCATACACAGGTCTTCTTCAAGTGACAGCATACAAGAAGATATTGATCAGAATGCAAATTTTATATTCCAAGCCATATATATCCTCTATAAAGAGCTCAGGGGTAAAAAAGGCATTACAAACTATTGCCCCAAATGACATCAAACTGAGAAACTTTAGACCCTGAAATTCATGCTTTATACTTTTGCGTTGGAGAGTGTTATTTTATCGCTTTCCCAAGCTTTAAAAGATTTTTCCACATCTTGAATTTTTACAAAGTTCACAGAATATCAGGGGCTTTGAATGTTGCACGCAGTCTTGCCAATTAACCACTAGAATCTTACGGATGTAGATTTCTTCGTAGTGAAAGTTTGAGATAATCTATAGAACCTGTAAGAGCTATGCTAACAACATCTAAAAGGTGGCCCAAGAACGCTCAAAGAGGATCACTAAACAACGAAGCAAGTGTACCAGCCAGGACAGAGCATGTTTTGTTTTAGCATTCAAACATCTATAATTTTATTTCAGTGTGCTACTTTAAACTGCTCATTTCATTTTCATGCTCAGAGACAAATCCCATTACTACATTCCTACAGCATGCAACAGCCCTATGGCATATCTTAAACAAGACTTACTGACCTGAGTCCCCCAGGCAACCAGTGTAACATCACTTCCCTCCTGCAGTACCTCAGCTTGAGACAATGGAATGTAGTATGGCTCCACAGGAACTTGTTCCACTGAATAAATAAAAGTTTAAAAAAGGAAGCAACAAAGATTAGATTCTCTTACTATGCAGTATTTGACCAAGAAAATGTACTTTTTTGAAAATCAAGACGGATAATCTTTAATGTATTTATTAACACTGTATTGGAAACAATAAGCCTGAATTCATGTGAAGTAGTAACATCATGTATCCCAAACTGTCAGAGTGCAAATTATGTTTGACAATGATACTGTTCATCACAGTGCTCCATGCTTCATATCCAATAATCTTAAAAAAAATAAATGCATACTACTGATACTCCGTAACAATACCCTGATCATCACTAAACCAAAAGGTAGTATGTAAACAAAGTATACATGGTTGTGTGGTGTCTTAAGTTTTAGCCTAATATTGCGAAACCTGTAGAAGCAGGGCTTACGTTAGAAGTAAAAAACAGCAAAATAGTTAGTGTGACCTAGCCTTGAGATAATGGTGTTAAAAAAAGGGGGGGGGGGGAATACTGAAATAAATAGCAATAGCCTAAATAAAATGCAGATGTTTTTAATTAATCCACGTCACAAAAAGGTATAAATGCTTGTGTAATTTTGCTTGTACTTTGAAGAAACTAAGGCAGAGATGCTGTCTGTCAGCTGTGTTCTTCCCTTGCAATTGCATGTCCTGAATAAAGCTGTTTCTGATTTTGTTGCTTCCAACCTAAAAGTAAAGTTTGTTTCTTCCACAATATTTGGTGCCGTGTGACTCGGATGGCTACGCCTGGCTGAGGCAGTGACCGCTATTACGGACCGTCCCCTTTTGAACCCCAGGCGCCAACTCAGAGGTAAGAGACCTTTTGAAATCTCTATTGGGGTATCGGAGGAGGACTGACCGTGGGGCCGTCTGTCCCTTTGAGCTCACGCCATGCGAACTTTTGCTTATGCAACAAGATCAGACGCAGAACGGTGATGGGGAATTGGTTGCCCCATGTAAGGTTAGTGATATGCTTTTTCTCTAACACTTAAATGGCTGCACTTAAACCCTCTTTTTCTTTTCCTGCGTCCACAAACTTTTAGCTGGCACCTGGGAAAGCCTCTTCCCAATTAATGGTTGAGCTATTGTTCCCTTACTGCCTTAAAATTATAGATATCTCCTTCATTGTCCATAATCACATATTAAACAGGAAAAAAAAGAAGTGTTTCAGAAAGGTTTTTAAAAGTTTGCTTGGTACTCATTTTCATATGTTTCTATCTTTAAAGCCAGAATACATCAATATTATCAGTCTAACCAAAGGGGACTTTGAGGGCAAAGAAAATGCTACCTAACAAACATTTAAAAATTATCTAAAATAGATTTCTATATAGATCATGTCAGGATTTTAAGATCAATCTCGGGGCCTTCTACAACTAGAAGTAAATGCTGGAATATTCCGCTGTAAAGATGGGATCACCTTTCCAAAAATCTACATCTCCTATTTCTGAGCTTGGATCACAAAACAGAAAACCTTAATAATACCACTGGTGTAAGACTAAAGATTGCCTGCCTTTTCCCTTAGTCCAGTGTATGATGAAGGTGAAATTGCACTCTTGGTAGGTTGATTTTAAAAATAAGAAATGACAACTGCTTGAAGGAGAGTTATTCAAATAATTGCTTTCATACACTGCACTAGTAAAATGCCTCTGTCATATTCTGAAGGGATCACTGAGACACGAAAGGATGCTTCAGTTTCTATGCCTTTTCAAATTCTTGGTTTTTCTGCGGAGACTCAATAAAAGTGCACATTATGAAGCCAACTTTCCAACCAGGATTTAGATAAAAGCAACCAACTTATTTCCTTAAGATCTTATCTGCTACCTGAAAAGTTCTCTCTGCCTGTCCCGCTCCCCAAATACAAAGTGAAGCCCTGATCCTGCAAGCAGCTCTGCATGGGCAGACCTGGCAATTGTGGCAGCTCTGAATGGGCAGACTTCATCTCCTCAGAACAATGGGGAACCTGGAAGATAGAGTGTGACTCTCAAAGCCTCGTCTGCTTCAGGAGAAATATACCACCACACTATTCCTTGCTCCAGGTTCTGAGCAAAGAAACGACTGAGCCCTCAGCAAATACATTATTTTTTTTTTAAATTGCAATCATTGACTATATTTCAAACAATTTTTTTTCTGCTATTTGACCTGCTCTAGAGGTCAAACTTCATTCTAAAAAATAAATTAAATTGAAAGTTGATTGACAATGTTAGATTAAACTACAGAACACAATGAAAAGGACATAACTGTTAGATTCCTTAAAAGTGAAGGGTTCTTCATTCAGCTTTAGGGGGTCTTATTCCCACTTCTGCTCTTGGATTTCCCAAGCAGCAGGCGATGTAACTGACCAATCTGATTATTCAAATTCAGCTTCTGACCCATCTCCCCAAAATTAGAACTGGTTCAGGTTTTGTTCCATTTCTAGTTTGCACAGGACTTGGAAAATGTACATGTAAAATATAAATGACTATCACATTTAAAAATCCCATCGTCATATTTACAAACACGCTCACACACACTATTAGGCCTGATCCTGTGAAGACTTACACACATGCTTAATGTTATCTAAGTGGTTCACAGGGCATTAAGTTAGGCACATGCTTATGTCTACACAGGTTTGGGGCATTTAATGGCAGCTTTAGTAAGGGAATATACATGAGTCACTATGACAAATACTACCATTTAGCTCTTCTCTTCAAGCTGTGAAGTGGCATAAATTCTATCTTCAACATATCTGAACCAAGCACTTCCATGCACCACATAATCAAGAAGATAAGAACTCACCTCTGATTAGAGGCACTGACTTTTAGTTATGCCTGGGGGGTGCTCCACCCCTGTTCTGCCCAAGGCCTTGCCCCACTCCACCCTTTCCCCCAAGTCTCCACCCTCGCTCTGCCTCTTCCCATCCCCGCCCCATGCCCTCCCTGAGGCCCCTGCCCAGTCATTGCTCTCCACCCTGCCCCAAGCCACTCCCCGAGCCACCAAACTGCTGCTCAGTGGCACCACCGATCAGCTATGGCTGGTGGATGCTGAGCACCCACTAGTTTTTTCCATGGGTGCTCCAGCCCCGGAGCACCCACGGAGTCGGCTCCTGTATCTCTGATTATTATATTTGTCAAATCTTTTATAGCCAAGAATAAATCATGGTAGTGCAACCTAATTTCCTTCTTGGACAGGGTTACTGGCCTATTGAATACAGGGGAAGCAGTAAACGTGAAATATCTTGATTTTACCAAGTCTTTTTACACTGTCCCATTGACATTCTCATAAGCAAACTAGGGACCAGTGGTTCTCCAAGTGTGGGGCACACCGCACTCGGGAAGTGCAGAGGAACATTTGGGAGGGCATGCAGCGGGGCAGGGAGGGAGAGCCATGCTTCCAGCCCTGCTCCACCCCCAGGCCTAACTCCTCCCCCATCCCTGCCTTCAGTCCAAACTCCACTGCTGAGGAAGCCTTGGCTGTGCAGTAATGGAGGGGGAACGTGACAGATTCTGTTACTGGGGGAAGGGGGAGGGCACGACTGGGAAAGTTTGAGCACTACTGGTCTAGATGAAATTACTATAAGGTAGATGCACAACATGTTGAAAAACCATACTCAGAGTAATTATCAAAAGTTTGCTGTCAAATTAGGAGGCTATATCTAGTCGAATCCTGTAAGGGTGTGTCCTGCGTCTGGTGCTATTCAACATTTTCATTAATGACTTGGGAAATGGAGTGGAAAGTATGCTTATAAATTTTGCAGATGACAGTGTCACAAGCTGTCTGAAGTGTCTCAGGAGCATGAGTACCCACCTCAGGGAAGACTGTTAAGAAGCAGGGCACAAACCCACAACTGGCTATGAATTCTATACTTAGATTTCATCAAACAAGTACAAGTGTAAACTCCTCAGGCACTCTAATAACATAACCATGGAGTCAGAGACAGTCTCCTTGGGTATTCTGGTCTATCTTGCCACCTAGGCAAGCCTGCCTTGGTGAGAAATGGACCCTTACACCAAAAGTCACAATAATATTCAGGTTACTCCCAATCCCAAAGGGCCAGTCACTTACCCCAGATCAACTTCACTTTACACCAAAGACAACGTTTATAGCTAATCCTATAATAAACTGTCTAAAGATTTATTAACTAAGAAAAAGAAATGAGTTATTTACAAGGCATACAAATACACAAATGTGTTACAGTCTTACGTTCCAAAAGGTGATAGAAGCTGCAGTAATATGCAAGTTCTATATGTCCTTTAGGGCTAACCCAGGCCAAGCACTGGGGATCTTTTGCTCATGCTTAGTAATTCTTGCCCCTTTGAGTCCAAGCAGCTTAAAGATCCAGTTTATTCTTGTTAGGGATATTTATTCCCTTCCCTCCAGAGTTCAATCTTATGGGATGAGTTCATGCATACATGTCCTCTTCATGGAAAGGGGAGGATGCAATTAACAAAGCCTTTGTTTCACAACAGCTCATTCAGTTTCAATGGGCCTTCTTCGTGGGCAGGACCTAACACTTTCTATAGGAAGCCAGCATTTTACATTAATTAATGCTTCTTTCCTGTTTGATGACTTACACAATTAAGAACATTACAATGCAAACACTCAATATCACCTTATAACATGGGGTACAGTGAGATTAATATATGTAGCACACTACAAGCATTTCATAAAGTCTAAACACACTAAACACATTTTTATAACTCTAATACCTATTTTAACAATACTAACACACAGGTGACCCTGACTGGCTCCAGCTATATATTTTTTAGTGTTCAGTGAGGCCTATGGGCCTTGGCATGAGCTGCCACCTGGTCTGCAGTGTTACAGACGCTAAGCTGGAAAGAGTTGCAAGCAGTTTGGAGGACAGGAATGGAATTCAAAATGACTTTGACAAACTGGAGAACTGATCTGAAATCAAGATAAGATTCAATAAAGACAAGTGTAAGGTATTACACTTGAGAAAAAAAAATCAAAGGCTCAAATCCAAAATGGGGAACAACTGGGTAGGCAGTAGTACTGATGAAAAGAATC